ATAGAGGTGGATAAAGTAGCTAAATAGTTGACAATGCTGGAGTGTAGTGTGTGAGCTGAAGCAACTGAAAAGAATCACATACCTTTGTGATGATTTTGTTAACAGTAGTTCTGATGCTTTAGACAGAATAGAAAATTGAATGAATGACTTAAAGAGAGAGTAAGGAAATGGTGGGCATGGACATAATTAATGATACCACAATTATCGACTTTACAGAGTATGGGAAGGTTGAGAGGTGATAGATTGTTGGGAATGCAGTTGAACTTTGAAGTGAATAAATGTAAGAGGTCACCACATTTGGAATATGAGATGCAGATGGGAGGGGGCAGACGAAGTGAGTTAGCACATATGGTACATCATTTAGAAATGGGGAGAAATTGAATTGGGTTGGTGATGAGTACATGTTGATGGAATTAGCATACTCTAACCCCTCTGAATTGGTTGACTTTATTTGGCCAAGAGATACTCAGAAGACACCTGAGATAGTGAAGGTGGAGCTCTTCAGCCTTTTCGCCTGCCTAGTATACATTGCCCTGGTCTCATCAATGAGCAGGAATATACTGCAGGTTATTTATTCACAATTTGGTGTTCTTAGTCATGTTGCTGGTGTTCTATATTCTCTTACCTCACCTAGACGTAACAGCTAAAGATTTTGTGATATCTGAGTTGACTTCAGCATCAAGTGACAGATTGTTAGTAATTGTAGAGCTTAGATATGTGAAATTATCAACAACCTCAGAACTACATTGTCAGTGCTGATAGGTAGCTCGGACTGTAGCAATATCCTGGACTGTGACATTTGCCTTCCTGATACACATTACCAAACTAAATTTTTATTAGATTATCTGTCCATTTGCTGGTGAATTTATTCCTCAGTATGGCATGCTAGTACAACATTGTCGATGGACAGAAATTCCATGAAGAATAAATGATGCACATCTGCCTTGGATCTTAAAGATAAAGGCTGAACAGCTTTCTAATTGTTTTAGTATGTAGGTTGGGATCTTTTGTAGATAACCTGAATGCATATGACAATGGCAAAGAGAAGAATACAGCAAACAGTGTAGTTGCCAGAAAACAACTTTTTGACTCCACTGCAGATCTCAAAGGTTCCAATGTTGCCTTCTCAAATCTGATCATATCCATCCATTTATTGTGGAAAGAGAACTAATTAAGCAGCTTTGGTAGGTAGCCAATTTTCTGCAGCAACTTAAAGAGATCTGCTCACATGGTTGACTGTCTCACTAAGATTGTTGAGGGCAATATGTAGTGGTCTCCTTTGTTCACAGCATTTCTGTTGCAGCCTGGACTGAGAAATTGTACCAACTGCAGATCATTCAGTTCTGAAACCTGCTGGGATTCCGTGTAGATGTGTTCAGCCAAGATCTACAGGCTGGCAAGCAAACAGGAGCAAATACGTTTTCTATGACGGTCAGCAGTGAGACTCCTCAAAGCCGTTTCAATTACTGTGGTCACCCTTGTTCTGGTTCTTTTACAGATCCATAGTCTTTCATTACACATATCCTGGGCACTACAGATGCTGCAGGAATGCTGGTTTCTTGCATTTTATGAGATCAGGTGATACATCTTCAGCATCTGAAAGTTTTGCTCATGGACAGCAAGTGACTTGATTTGCTAAGCTTCTGTATCATTGGTTTGATTGCCAGATCTGCTTTGTCTAGAATATCCTCAGTGGCAGTCTTCTTCCCAGCATACAATTTAAGGTATTTTACCGATTCTCCAACTGTTTATTGTAGTTGATGGTTACCTGTCCTCCCTCTATTTTCAATTGAGCCATTTTCTTTACCAATGGACCTGATGTCATTTTGATCCCTTCATAAATGCCCCTGATAGTTCCTGCATCAAAGTATATCTGGATATCCTGGCAAAGTATCATCCAGTAGTCATTAGTTTATTACCCAGCAGTTTGTTGAATGTTGTTTTATGCAGTTCTTGGTTTATTTATCCCCATCTCAATTGGAACCCTTATAACTATTAAGAGCAGACTGCTTGACTTAAATGACAGGTTCCATCAAAGTGATGTTAGTCTTGAATCAATCAGCTTTCCTGCTCCTCTGATACTGCTTGGCCTGCTATATTCATCCAGCTCTACACTTTGTTATCTCAGCATTTTTCAGCTCTTTCCTGCCATATGTTGAGGATTTTGTATTATAGATGGTGTCTCAAAGTATTTTGCATTCTTCGAGGAAATGCCTGAAAGCATTTGTTTAATTAACTCAAAGAATTTTTTCCTAATATAGGTAAGTGGTACGATTGATATTGATACAAGGAAAGTATTGCTGCTCGGAATTAAAAATTCAAATGTTGCATCCTAACCCTGGTCCAGATTAGGGAGCAACCTGTTTTGCAGTCAGTGCTGTGGTAACTGTGAGAACGCCCTTCAACAAGTCACATTGGTAATGATCAGCTCCAGTTGGTGCCAATGCCCTGATAGTGAATAACTACCTAGTCGTCTTGACTTGTTCTGAAAGAAGGTGTATGTTATATAAAGCTTTTGTCAGACCGTAATGCCCAGGGCAGGATGGCTGTGCCCCACAGTCCATGCCAACTATGAAATTCCCCAGTAGGTAATGAATAGGCTGCAGCTTTTTTCCCTGGAGGATTGGAGGCTGAGGGATGACCTTATAGAGGTCTATAAAATAACAAGGGGCATGGTTAGGTGAATAGCCAAGGTCTTTTTTTCCTAGGATGGGGGAGTCCAAAACTAGGGGGCACTGGTTTAAGGTGAGAGGGGAAAGATTTAAACAGGACCCGAAAGGCAACCTTCTCACGCAGAGGATGGTGCGTGTACGGAACGAGCTGCCAGAGGAAGTAGTGCAGGTGGGTACAATTACAACATTTAAACATCTGGATGGATCTATTATTAGGAAGGGTTTAGAGGGCCAAATGCTGGCAAATGGGATGAGGTCAGATTGGGATGTCTGGTTGGCGCAGACAAGTTTGACCAAAGGGTCTGTTTCCTTGCTGTATAACTCTCTGATTCTATATCCTGAATAATAGCAGGATCAAACTTCTAACAGAATTGGTCTTTTGATTCTGTAGCGGAGCATTTGTGATGTTAACTGGTCCTGTTTGAGTTGAGAGGCAGTTGTAGGGGACACATTATGAGCAGTTGTGAGGGCTCTATCATCAAGAATAGTATGTTCCACAAAGTGCCGCCTACACCTTATTCTCTCATTTCCTCTGAACTCTTCCCTGCCAGATGTACATGTAATGTTTATGTTTTGGCGATCTGCTCTCAGTGAGCCTGGCAGTGAAGCTGTGTCCACAATCATTCTATTCAGTTTCATGTTGATTACATCTGCCATGCGTGTGTCATTGATCAGCTGTAAGTTGTCTGTCGTTCGTAAGCTCATCCCATGCCTAATGTTCCAGTTTGTCCATTGAAGAGTTGGCATCCTCTTTTATTTTGTTTGTTTGCCTGATGTGATGGATCCTGTCTATTTGTTCAGCAGACACTCTAAGCTCCAGGCACCCAATCGAAGCAGATGGAAACATGGTGGGTTAGCACCCTACTGGGTGGGACTACACAACTTGAGGTCCTAGCTTGCTGGCCAGTGGGACACAATGGTTCCTCCAACCATCGGAGACAGCTTGTAGCAACTGTTTCTCCACTGTTCGATTTGGGCTTATCACTCGTAACTGCTGTCTCCTGGTAATGCTCTTCAGCAGAGCTGGAGTATCCTCCACAGGGCTCAAGACTGTGCCAAATTTATGAAGACCATGGGCTGCCCAAAAGATAGGATCCTCTGCATGACCTCCCCAATTGAGTTCGAAGGAATTCAAAACGCAGAGTTGCCAGAAAAATGACAAACTTAACCATCAGTCTGGCTTTGGGCTGAACTCCAGTTTATTTGTCAGGATTTACTGCATTCAACTTCCAAGGCATCCACAAGGCAGTGAGGCCATTTGCCCACAGCTAGGAGTTTGATTGATGAGTGCCTGGGTCTCAATGTACCAGTGGGCCTGCTCGCTGCATGTCTAGACGTGAAGTTTCCTCCTCCTGATTTTTTCTGAAGCTTTAGCCTAGAGCAATGAGGTGCTCAGTTTCTGTGGGTAGCTGTGAGGAGGCACAGCCAAGAACTCGCCAAAGGAGATGCTCCTATTTCCTCGCACATTGCTGCTAGCCATGATATGGGTTAAAAATAAGCAGCAACTAGTGCAGAAAAGCAGAAAGTGTGTTAACACTCTTCACCCACACACCAAATGCATAACATTGCTCTGCTGGGACACAGACGTATCAGCAACAAGACAAATGCATGAAATTTATGATATTGATTTTTGTACTTACAATGTACCCTCAAAGGCTTGCAATCTAATCAAAGATGTGTAACAGGAAGATTGCTGTTTTTGCATTATGTTAGCGTAGGATGCAAATCCTGTTCATGATTATCTATGTGGTAAATTTTAATTTTAACTGGGATTTCAGGATAACAAATATCTTAAAAGAATAAGGAAACCATTGAGCGATTCATTTACAGGCCCAGTGTAGGAAAGTGGGACGAGTGTAGGAAGTATATTTTTGGCGATACAAGCTCAATGGGCTCAACTGCCTCTCTGTGCTGTATGATTCCATGATGACAGCAGATACGCATGGACCTGTTTTGGATCCTTGCCTTATTCATCTTATTTATTCGCAATTTAGATAATGGAATGGAAAGCCACATACCCAAATGTGATGATAGCATAAATGTAAGCAGTATCAAAAGCAGTGTCAATGGAAGCATAATATTATAATGTGATTTTGTGAAATTATGTGAACGGGTATAACTGTGGCAAATGAATTTCAAGGTCAGCAAATGTGAAATTATTTATTTTGGACTTTGAGAGAACAGACTAGGGTACTTTCTGAATAGTGAAAAGCTAGGAGCAGTGGAAGTCCAAAGAACTCAGCAATCCAGGCTTGTAGAACATTAAACTATCATGAGCAGAAACAGAAAATAATCAAAATAGACTAAAGACTAATAGAATTAGCACCTTTATGGGATGATACATGTAAGGAATAGATGTCATATTGCAACTGTTAAACCACATCTGGAATACTGTCAGCAGTCCTGGACACTGCATTTTAGGATGAAGAGCAGCATAGATTTATTAGAATGATGCCTGGATCCAAGTATTAGATCACAAGGAGAGATAATACAAACATGGGCTGTATTTAAAGGTTAATGGATGGGTTGGCAGAAGTTATCAAGATATTAAGTGGAAAAGATAGTATTTCCACTGGTTGGCAAGTTCACAACTGGAAGACATTATCTGAAAATTAGTGTCAAACGTGAAATTAGGCAATACTTTTACACACAAAGTGTGGCAAAAATTTGGAACTCTGTCCCACAAACACCAACTGATGTTTGATGAACTGTTGATTTTAAATCTGAATTTGACAGTCCTTGGTTAACCGAATACATGAAGGGATATGGGGCAAAGATACAGAGAGTTCAGTTGCAGATCAGACATGATCTCTTGAATGGGTGGAACCAGTTCCAGGAGCTATCTGGTCTACTCCTGTTCCTATGTTTTGCAGAGTTGGAAGGAGAACGAAGGTAGAATCCATTTCCCTTTCCTTAGCTGGGAATGTGAAATCCTGCAGGGACACCTAAAAAAGGGACAGAGAACATATTAGTTTTGAGTGGGTATGTTCAGATAGAGCAAACTGCCGCTAATTGGCACTAGTTGCCATTAATTATTAATATTTTTGGAGAGGATAGAAGGAGTCTGAGAAACAAAAGCACTGTTTTGATGTTTTGGAGATGGTTGGAATTAGAGCATGTCATTGGGCAGATCACAGGGTGTTTAATTTCATTAAACATATCCGAAGAATATGATTACCACAGCATGACCGCACAATGGCCATTACCAAACAAAAATTTAACCACTGACCCTTAATATTCAGTGGCACTACCATCACTAAATTGCCCTGCTATCAAGGTCCTGTCACTGACCATGATCTGGCTGGTCTGGAATAGCCATATGAATACTGTAGCTACAAGAACAGGTCAAGGCTAGAAATCCTGTAGCAAGTAACTCACCTCCTGACTCCCCAGAGCTGTTCACCATCTACAAAGCACAATTCAGGAGTGTGATAGAATACCGTTATTTGCCTGGAGGAGTGTAGCTCCAGCAGCACACAAGAAGCTTGGCATCATCCAGGTCAAAGCAGCTGCTTAACTGGCACCACGTACACTGCCATCAACATTCACTCCCTTCACCATCAATGGCAGCAGTGTGTATCATCTATGAGAGCGCCTGCAGCAACTCAGCATGGATTTCCTGGATGCTAATCTGGTGGAATGGGTCACTTGTCCCTTTATGGAAGCTGTCACACAATTTCCAATTACCAATCCTTAATAATCAAAATAATAACAAAGAGTTACAAAGTATATAACAGAACTGTAGGCATTCAAAGGGAAAAAAAAGGTTAGCATTTCATTGTTACTAAAAAAAATTATTCACAGGGTTTGTGTGTTGCAGGCAACACCAGCATTTAGTGTCCATTTGTAATTGCCCGTGAGAAGGTCCTGTGGGTTACCTTCTTCAACTACAGCAGTCCTTGTGCTGTAGGTACATCTGTAATGAAATGAGAAGGGGAATTCCAGGATTGAGATTCAGCAACAATAAAGTAACAACAGTGACATAGTTTCCAATCAAGATGGTGTGTGTCTTACAGGGAAATTTGCAGCTAGTGGTGCTCCCAGGTTCCTGCTGCCCTTGTCCTTCCAGTTGGTAGAGGTCATAAGTTTGGAAGGATCTGCTGAAGGATCTCTGGATAGTGACAGCGGAGGCTCCAACTTCTTTCCACAATATGGACTGACCAGGAATCTCCCTCTCTTAACACTGGCCACTGGCATGTGCTGAAAGGATTTACAAGATGATTCTCAGCTTCTTTGATATGTTGTTGATGGCCCTTCCTTAGACAACAAGTTCTGGAGTGAGATTTGAACCTACAGTTTCCAGTTCAGATGCATGGATGCTCTTTATTCCACCACGAGACACCCTTACATAAGATTGAAGCAAATAACTTCTATTGAAGTTTTAAGACTGCACATCTATCCTTACACTACAGTCAGGAGCATTAGACGTGTCCAAAACCCATAGTTATATTAATGGTAACAAAGCCCACATTTTAAAATCATTGATTCTTCAAAGGTTAATTAATGATTAATTATTGAACTAAGCCATAAATCAAAGCTTAAATTTTTTGTCATTTTGAACTGTTATTTCAAATAGGCTATAAGGCATGGGCAACAAATGCTGGTTCAGCCAGAGACACCCACCTCCCATGAATGAATAAGCAAAATAATATTCAGCACATTGTACCAGCAACATAACAAAAGCTGAGGTTTGAGACTATTCAATTAAATGTTATTTTAATATATTTTGTGTAGTGTGTAAAAATAGGATTTGCAAACTCTGGAACAAGATATTACATGCTTTGCTTTCTCAATTTATTTTCCAGGAATAATCGTTCTTTTGTTAACTTTTTCTTGCTCATCAAGTGAAGGATGTCACTGCTGGGGAATGCAACACATATCCATTCTTGCATGATTCACTGCTGGATCACCAAGCTCAAAATGCAACTACAGAATTTCTCAGCAGCAATTCTTGTGGTCCCTCTAGTGTGAGATATTTCTTAAAAACCTGTCTAGAGATGTTATTACACATCTCTGGAGCAGGTGAAACTTGAGTTGCCTCAGAGGCAGGGCCAATACCACTGTATCACAAAAGCACACACCCCCTTCCTGTTTCTAGTGTTATAGTTCCTCGCTTCTGCTTAGTGTGCTTCATTTGCGTCAGTTAGTCAATCTTATTGCAACATATGCACATACATAAACTCTGAAGTTCAAAAGAACCCAAAGCTGAATCATTAACAAAACGTTAGTAACGTTGATAGCCAAAGGAGTTGGATTCATGCTAAGTACAATGGTAATTTTGAGGCATGTGATAATCCTGTACTGCCAGAGCAAGACTTTTCTACATATTTAAATCGGAACTGCTTATTTCATTGTGACGTCACTAGTGGACATTTCACAAACACTAGCATAGAGGAGAGCAGTAGAAGGTCATTCTGTTGGCTTTGTCCATGGGAAATTGTGTCTCACTAACTTGATTAAGTTTTTTGAAGATGTAACAAAGAGGATTGATGAGGGCAGAGTGGTGGACATGATCTATGTAGACTTCAACAAGGCGTATGACAAGGTTCCTCATGTTAGACTGGTTAGCAAGGATAGATCACATGGAATACAGGGAAAACTAGTGATTTGGATACTGAACTGGCTCAGAGGTAGAAGACAGAATGTAGTGGTTGAAGGTTGCTCTTCAGACTGGAGGCCTGTGACCAGCGGTGTCTCACAAGGACCAGTGCTGGGTCCCCTGTTTTTTGTCATTTATGATTAGTAAGCTTGCAAATGACACCAAAAGAAGGAGGTTACCTCAGAGTACAATGGGATCTTGATCAGATGGGCCAATGGGCCGAGGAATGGCTGATGGAGTTTAATTTAGATAAATATGAGGTGCTGCATTTTGGAAAGGCAAATCAGGGCAGGACTTATACACTAAATGGTAAGTCCTGGGGAGTGTTGCTGAACAAAGACACCTTGGAGTTCAGGTTCATAGTTCCTTGAAAGTGGAGTCACAGGTAGATAGGATAGTGAAGAAGGCATTTGGTCTGCTTGCCTTTATTGGTCAGTGTATTGAATACAGGAGTTGGGAGGTCATGTTGAGGCTGTACAGGACATTGGTTAGGCTGCTATTGGAATACTGTGTGCAATTCTGGTCTCCCTGCTATATGAAGGATGTTGTGAAACTTGAAAGGGTTCAGAAAAGATTTACAAGGATGTTGCCAGGGTTGGAGGGTTTGAGCTATAGGGAGGGGCTGAATGGACTGTGGGGTTGTTTTCCCTGACCATCTGAGGCCGAGGGCTCACCTTATAGAGGTTTATAAAATCATGAGGGGCGTGGATAGGGTAAATAGACAAGGTCTTTTCCCTGGGGTGGGGAGTCCAAAACTAGAGGCTTTGGGTTTAAAGTGAGAGACGAAAGATTTAAAAGTGACGTAAGGGGCAATATTTTCATGCAGAGGGTAACAGAGACAAAGATAGGAGCAGCAGGAGGCCATTCAGCCCTTCGAGCCTGATCCACCATTCTTCACGACCATGGCTGATCGTTCAATTCATTAGCCTAATCCTGCTTTCTCCCCATAACCTTTGATTCCATTCACCCCAAGTGCTATATCTAGGCGCCTCTTGAATACATTCAATGTTTTGGCATCAACTACTTCCACGCCCATGCCTTACAGCCTATTTGAATTCTACAGGCTCACCATTCTTTGGGTGAAGCAATGTCTCCTCATCTCCATCCTGAATGGTCTACCCTGAATCCTCAGACTGTGACCCCTAGTTCTGTACACACCCACCATCGGGAAAATCCTCCCTGCATCTACCCTGTCCAGTCCTGTTAGAATTGGTGCTGTGTGTAAGGAATGAACTGCCAGAGGAAGTGGTGGAGACTGGTACATTTACAACATTTAAAAGGCATCTGGATGGGTATGTGAATGGGATGGGTTTAGAGGGATATGGGCCAAATCGGACTAGATTAATTTGGGATATCTGATCAGCATGGATGAGTTGGACCAAAGGGTCTGTTTCCATGCTGTACAGCTCTGTGACTCTATTTATAACCAATTATATAAATGTGACAGAGAAATTCAAGCATAACAAAAGGTGACTGATTATCAGTGCAGTGCCAAGTTCTAGTTGCTTTGTAGTATGTAATTCTGCACACTAGGAAATGGTTGATTGAGTTGATGTAGAATCTTTACAGCCAACAAAACAAGAGTTCAGTATTGACCACATTTGGACATAGTCCCAGACAGTGGTTGGGAAAGTTGAGCATGGCCATAATTGGAGTAAAGTGAACAATCCTTGCACCCAAGTGGGCAGGCCGGAGGCACACATGATATTGAGCAACAGGCTTCATTTTCATCAAGCCAGCAGACTGTGGAAACTTTGTAAATAATCATAGTTAGATCATGGTGAAGATAACTGGTTTATTATAACATTAGTGCACAGAAATATATCCAACACTGGCTAATAGGAAAACAACAAAGAGCAAACGAAATTTATTTCTCTGAATATGTGCAGAACTGTCAGCAGAATGAAATATTAATGGTGCCTTAGAAATATTGACAGATATGAATATTTTAGCGGAATATTGAAACTACAAGTACAAAACAGACTGCAGCAATGTACTCACAGCATACACTGGAGAATAAGGCATATATGTTTATGCATGAAAAAGATGTCAAAGTAGTCACAGAGTTCATTGGAATACCAGAAGAATACATTAAAGCACTATGTGAATGTATTATGAGGAACTCACAAGTGTCCACCAAGGCAAAGAGATCTGGTAGACCAAATTCTCATCAAAGGCAGGGCTTTTGTATTGTAATACAAAACTAAGATACCACAAATGCTGGAAATTTGAAATTAAAACATAAAATTCTGGAGAATCTTAGCAGGTCTGGTGACATCAGTGGAGACAGACACAAAATTACTTCACGTGGATTGTGAGAAAGACGTCACGGAATAAAGGTATAGA